TTCTCTGTAGTTTCTTTCTGTCCTGGGCAGAGCAGTTGCCATGCCAGGCCATGATGCATTCGGACAGAATGCTTTCTATGATGCATCTATAAACATTGGTGTTGTTGGAGATGAGGGAGGAAATTATAGTGGCTCTGATTAAAATTTTTTAAATGTCTCTGGCTACAGCGGAGAGGCCAGAGGCCTGGAGGACAGTTAATGTCATTCCACTTTACAAGAAAAGTAATAGAGATACACCAGGAAACAATGGTGAACATTGGCGAACCAGGGTACATCAATGAGACTGACATCAGTGATGGAGAAACTATTAGAGAAAATAGCGAAGGAGAAACTTAATTTCCATTTACATAATCATAAAATCCCTACATTGTGGAAGCAGGTTATTCAGCGCATCACATCTACACTGAGCCTTCAAAGAGCATCCAACCCAGACCTAACCCCTATCCTATCCCTGAGATCTTGCAACTCCCATGGCTAATCCACCTAGCCTACATATCCCTGGACAGTATGGGCAATTTACCATGGCCTATCTACCTAACCTGTACATCTTTGGACTGTGGGTGGAAACCAATGCACCCGGAGGAAACCCACGCAGACATGGGGAGAATTTGCAAACTCCACACAGACAGTTGCCCGAGGGTGGAATCAAACCCAGGTCTCTGGCACTGTGTGGCAGCAGTGCTAACTACTGAGCCACCGTGCCGTCCCAGAGCTAAGGTTTGAACAGGGATAGTCAACTTGGCTTTGTCAGAGGCAGGTTATGCCAACAAATCTGGAGGTAATCTTCAAGGAGATGACCAAGTGCTTCACTAACTGTAGCACAGTTGATGGAGTTTATATGGACTTCAGTAAGGTCTTTGTCAAGGTCCCACATGGGGAAATAATAAAGAAGATAAAAGCTTATGGGATACAAGGTAACTTAACAAGTTTACCCAAAATTGGCTTTGTAATAGGAGACAGAGGATGGTAGTAGAAGGCTGTGTGTCTTGAGCTTGGTGTGCAGTGGAATACCACAGAGAAGACATATGGTGTGTTGACTTTCATTGGCAGGGGAATTGAGTTTAAGAGCCATGAGGTTATGCTGCAGCTCTATAAAACCCTAGGTGGACCACACAGTTCTGGTCACTTCATTATAGGAAAGATATGGAAGCTTTAGAGAGGGTGCAGAGGAGATTTACCAGGATGCTGCCTGGTCTGGAGGGCAGGTCTTAATGAGGAATGGTTGAGGGAGCTAGGGCTTTTCTCATTGGAGCGAAGAAGGATGAGAGGTGACTTGATAGAGGTTTACAAGGTGATGAGAGGCATAGATAGAGTGGATAGTCAGAGACTTTTTCCCAGAGCAGAAATGACTTTTACGAGGGGGCATAATTTTAAGGTGATTGGAGGAAGGTATAGGGGAGATGTCAGAGATAGATTCTTCATACAGAGAGTGGTGGGCGTGTGGAATGTGCTGCTGACAGTGATAGTGGAGTCAGATACTTTAGAGACTTTTAAGCGACTCTTGGATAGGTACATGGAGGATAGTAAAATGTAGGGTATGCAGGGTAGATTGATCTTAGTAGGATAACAGGTCAGCACAACATTGTGGGCCGAAGGGCCTGTACTGTGCTGTACTGTTCTATGTTCTATGTTCTAGAGCTTAGTGTTGGGTCTCTTATTGTTTGTGATATTTATAAATGATGTAGATGAGAATGAGAGAGGGATGCTAAGTAAGTATGTGGAGGACGGAAAGACTGGCTGGGTGGTTGACAGTGACAAAGAAGGTCGTATATTACAGGAGGATGTAAAGAGATTGTTCAGATAGGCAGATCAGTGGCAGATGAAATTTAACCCTGTTAAATGATGTGAAGTGATGCACTTTAAAAGAAAGAACAAAGCAAGGGAGTGCTCAATGAATGGCAAGATTCTAGGAAGCTCAGAGGAAATGAGGGATCTTGGGGTGCTTGCCCACAGGTCCCTGAAGGTGGTAGAACAAGTTAATTACAGTTAAGAAGCTATACGGGACGTCAGTCTTTATGAGGCATAGATTATAAGAGCAAGGAGGTCACGTTGAGCTGTATAAAATATTGGATAAGCCACAGCTGGAGTACTGCGTGCAGTGCTGGTCACTGTTCTACAGAAAGGATGTGAGTACACTGGAGAGGGTACAAAGGAGATTCACCAGGGTGTTGCCTGGGATAGGGCATTTCAGCTATGAAGAGAGGCTGGATAAGCTCGGTTTGTTTTCTCTAGAACAGAGAAGGTGAAGGGTGGTCATGATAGATGTGTATAACATTATGAGAGGCATGGAGAGCGTTAATACCAAGCAGCTGTTCCCCTTTACTGAAGGGTTAATAACAAGGGGACTTAACACCCAAAGGGTGGTGGGGATCTGGAATGCACTGCCTGGAAGGATAGTTGATCCTGGTAACCATGGTGGGTAACCTCATATTCTTTAAAAAGTACTTGGATGAGCACTTGAAGTGTCATAACATTCAAGGCTATGGGCCTTGTACAGGAAAGTGCGACCAGTGCAGGTCATAGTGTATTTTTGGTGGTATAAACTTGATGGGCTGAAAGGCCTCCACTGTACTGTATGATTCTACTGCACCTGTTTCAACTCAACAAAATAAATGACAATTATTTGCTGATTAATTTACGAACCAGAAAAACGTGCCTGCTTTAAAATTTGAACAAAGCCCAGCATTAGCAGGTGCATTCTCCATGGCAATGCCTCTAGCGATCAAAGTTCACTTGCAAAGCAATCAGCAATCACTTCTCATGAAGTTGGTTTATTCCCTTGAATTGGTATCCTTGCAAAATGTTCTAAAAATCTTCAATAAAATGTGTCTTCAGTCAGCAATACTCGAGTTCTTGTTTACCAAAGATTATTTGCACTTGATAAATCATATATCTCTCTGTAATTTCCTTGTAAATTCTGTATACCCTTCCTACTGGTAGCTGGTTTACAGAACAAATTTTGCAATGTCATGCTACTTAGTGAACACCAAGCATATAGATTCTGATCTTAACCTCTAAGTCCTCTTCAGGTCTATAATGTCCTCTTCTTAGTCAATACTGCTATCTTATTTCTTTCCTCCCCTATCCTTCCTGAACACCTATATCCTAATATATTTAGTATCCAGTCCTGCTCGTTTGTAAGCCAAGTTGCTCACATTATGATATATTTCCAAGTCACAGAAGTGCATAAATCTTTTTCCTACTACACTGTGTATTTGCATAGAGCCAAATTTAGACCTCATTACACTCCCCCTTACTCTCACCCCTCCAAATACTCTGTGAATCCTCCTATTTTCTACTCTACTGCCATCTTTTTCTACCAGTTCTCTATAAAGGAAATAGCTTTGCAAATGTGGTTGGTTACATTCAGGCTCTGACACCAAGTTTTTGATTTTGCAGTTACATAATTATTCAAGGATAAGGAAGGAGAATATGATCTCTCCCCATCCCAGGAACCATTCTTGCTGTATGGTATAGTGAATATTACAGATCTTTCTCTTGAACTATTGCTGCTCACAGTCAGAATTATATGCAGACCTGGTTGCTCTGTCACTGACTGAAAAGTCAGGGATGAGCCTGTTTCTGCTTAGTTAAATTGCCCTGCAGACATTTTTGGCTGTTGGGCCATTGACTGGCTTGAGACAGGACTCCACCACTTTCTGGGAGAAGCTTCCTTTTCAAGAGCTGTTGGCTAATCAAACTGTCGGCAGCTCCCTAGTCGAACAGTGCCACATAGATTGTGGCCACTGTTGGGACAACATAACATTACTGAAGAAAAGACGCTATGGAACCAGAAAAGAAGAATTAAAGGTAATTCAAAGATTTCACAGGGGCTGGGTGGGTCAGAGTGGGGTTTGGAGATGGGGGCTGTAGATGGTGATCAGGATGTGGGGGAATCATGCAGTTCAGGTGACTACCTCAAATGGGAGGGGGCATCATTAGAAAAAAGGAGAAACCACGCTGTAACAGTGATACCCACTCAGTCAACAAAAACATTTGGTGACTTCACTACACCACATGACAACTTCACACCTCCCCATGCTTTGGAAGAAAGCCTTGGGAGCTTTAAGCAGACAATAAGTGAGTGGGCGGTCTGACACCTCCCCTTCTGAGAACATAATCCAGTGGAGGGGTAGGTGATGGGAATAGGGGCAGTGGCTTGGTGTCCAACTTTACAACCTCCCTCAAGTCACAGGATGGTTCTCAAAAATCCTAGCCTACATTGCTAACTTAAGAGGGCAGTCAAAAGTCAACTGCAATAGAATGGGACTGGACACAAACAGTTAAGGATAACAGATTTCCTTCCCTGCATAAGACTCGTGAAGCAGCGGGTTTTTTTTAACTCCCTCCAACAGCTTCATGTTCAGTTCACTATGGTTTTTCCATACCACATCCCAAACTTATGACCAATACCAGACGGAATGACAGGCAGCAGGAAATAGGAACACAATGATTTGCAAGTTCCCCTCCAAGTCCCACACACCCTCTTGACTTAGTAAAAACCGAAACAACTGCGGATACAATAAATCAGGAACAAAAATAGAAATTGCTGGAAAACCTCAGAAGGTCTGGCAGCATCTGTGGACAGAAATCACAGCTAACATTTCAGTTTGAGCAATCCTTTGTCAGAACTTGGAAAAATATTTTTGCCAACTCAAAATTCTGGAACTCTAACAGCACTTTCACTGAGGGGCCACAGCATTTAAAGCAAATGGCTCAGTATCACCTTCACAAGGCAACATAGGGTCAGTCAGCTTTGGCAGTGATGCCTACTCACAAATTAATATAAAAATCTCTTAACTGATATTAGATTAATCTTTAGGGGGAAACAGACAACTAAAATTCTCAAACCAGGTTTGGAATTCAAATTCTCCAAATTACCGGACCGCATACAGCATCACAACATAAATGCCTTGCAGGGTCAATCCAAAGCTTCCACTTAAAATCATTCCTCCCTAGGAACGTACTGTGTGCGGGCAGCCAGAAGAGGCTCTCTTTACCTGAAGTCTTATGAAGTCCTGTGGCTTAAAGTCATTTGGTGAGCAGCCACACCAATCCACAATGTGCTTGTACTGGCACTTGCAGCCAAGCTTTCGGTTCCAATTGGTGACCCGCAGATTGTTGTCCACCAGTGTCTCGCACATGTGGCTGTTTTCCAGCACTGTATGGAAGAAAGACTGTAGAAGACAGGAGATAACAAAAAGTCACTAACACAACATGAATACATGCGTAATAAACCTGAAGTTCAGGAAATCACCATGAGATTGTCTTGCAACTGGTTGTGTAATGATTTGGACCTTCCACAGCACTATCAGTTAGTGGATAAACTGGGGCTTCATTAACCTCATGTTATTATTTTGGAGAGGTTGAAAACGAGAGAAAAATACAAAATAAGAATGAGAGAAAGAAGCAGATGCTTACTTCCAATGGACTATACTGAGAGCTGGATGACCCACATGCATAGATTTAAAGTATGATCTGGTTAGTGATGAAGAGTTCGTGAAGGAATCTGTTTTTTTACAGCAGTACATTTGTGTTAACCTCTATTTTATAATGACCTCTACAGTTAAGATATTTAAAGGCAGGAAGACAACAGAGGTAACTGACAGTATGTGTACAGAGGTTACTATAGCATTCCCAAAGCTATCTAGAAAATCCTTCCATGATAAGGTGTAGAGTTGGATGAACACAGCAGGCCAAGCAGCATTAGAGGAGCAGGAAAGCTGACGTTCCCACTATCTCTAGAAAATCCTTCCATTCACTTTATTTAAAACAACTAAAAACCTAGGGTTTTTCTGTTTTGATAAACCCAATAACTATACTCCTTCAGGATTATACTAGTTATCACATCAGCAACCTCATTAGGGAATTGTAATGGAAGAGTTTAAAAGGTTTTAGAGTAGATTTGTAGCTTGGGTTGTGGATGTTGAGGTTGGTTGGCTCACCGAGCTGGTTCGTTGTTTCACAGACATTTCATTACCATGCTGGGTAACATCATCAGTGCAGCCTCTGATGAAGCGCTGTTATGTTTTCCCGCCTGTTATTTAGGGTTATGGATGCAAGGGTTGATGGATTAGTAAAACCTATCTTTTACTCTTTCATGGGATGTTAATGATGTTGAAGTCAGCAGTTACAGCCCATCCCTAACTGCGACCATCACTTTCTTGAACCACCGTAATACATCAGGTATTGGTACTTCTACAGTGCTGTAAAGCAGTTCTAGGATTTTGACTCAGCCAAAGTGAAAGAACAATGATATAGTTACAAGGCAGGATAGTGTGTGGGGAAGATAGCCTCTAGCTGATGGTGTTCCCTTGTCCTCTAGGTCACAGAGGTCGTAAGTTTTGTAAGTTGGCGTTGGAGAGTCTTGGGTGGGTTACTGCAGTACATCTTGTAGATGGTACACATTGCTGCCATGCTGTGTTGGTAGAACAGGGAGTGAGTGCCGGACAGAAACACTGAACTTGAGGAGATCATGAGGACAGACAGGAAGAAATCTGAAGGGGTTAGCTATATAGAGAAGTAGACAGAGTTGGGTGAGAGACAGGGAGTGGAAGAGAAGTTCAGGGAGAATTGAGGTATTGAGGGTGAGACAGAGATAAAGAGAGAGACAGTGAGAGAGAGGAATTGGAAGAGAGGGAATTGGACAGCTGGATTTTAAAAGCATTTCAAATTCTATCACCTAAAAGACTATGGGATCCCACTGCAATATCAGCTATGCCCTGTACGATTTAATGTTGGGAACAGTGGCAATTGCTTTAAGGCAAGATTTCTGGCCCTACTGCAGTAGCAAATTCCATCTTAGAGTACTGCAGACCAAACAAATGGCTGTCGGTTCTGTAGTCCTAGCCATACCAGATGGGAGCAATGCCACTTCTGGGCCTACAGGTAGTCCCACCACACCAAGGAGCCCAGAACTTGAGAGTCTCAGGGAGGGATATGAGGAACTAGGGATAAGAAGTGAGGAAGGTTAAGGAGGGCATTGAGGGGTACCTCCACAAAGGAGAACTCCATCATTGCCTGATACTAGTCTGTGAAGCTGCTGGGGCATCCTGCATAGCACTAACCTCACCTCATGGTGGGCACAATATTGATTGGAACAGGAGATGACCCTTATGTGATCATTAATTGGACATCCAAGGCCTTTAATAGACTCAAGGGCAAGCTGCTTGATATCTTCCTGGCCCTGTAAAATTTCAGACAGGTCAAGATAGGCCAGAGCAGAGAGAAAGAAGAAGATAGTGGTGACAGCAAGGATAAGATACAGAAAGGGTGGCAAAGAGAGACAGAGAGAGGCTATTGAGGTGGGGAGTGGTGAGAGGATGGGGAGCAGAGAGAGAGAGACAGAGACAGTGTGCTGGAATCAGAGAGGAAGAGCCAGGCCAAACAGAGAAAGCAGATTGCAATACAGCTGAATTACCCCGTACTCAATGCATCAGATCTTAGCTTTCAAGTCCTGCCACAGCCAGTTAACGCACAATTAAACAACTAACAAAAGCAGCGGAAGTTTCACAAAAATTCCATCCTCAACAATAAGGGAGCCCAGCACTTCAGTGGAAAATACAAGTATTTGCATCCATTTTCAACCAGAAGTGCCGAGTGAACGATTGATGTTGGTCTCCCAGCATTACAGGGATACCTGACCGTAACCCTAACCCTATCACAGTCTTCAATCAATTCAATTCACTCCATATTATATGAAAAAAACTGCTAATGCTTATGTTGGGTGCCTGAAATTGGAAGTGCTCCTTTGCCAAAGACTAACCTCTCCAGGTTGAAATTAAAAATCTCTGTTTCTATCAGCTCTCACCTCAGCTGGAAGTAGCGTGTACCAGTAGAACCGTTTTAGTTGAGTGACCAACTCATCCTGTGTGTTCACCACATAAGCCACAAACTTGTGAGTCAGAGCGAACCAGTCAGAACCACCATCTACTATAACGCCCTCAGGGATGTGCCTGTCTCCGAGGCGCCACATGTGGTTGTCACATTCATGGAATATTCGATCTAAGCCTTGCTTCTTGATAAATCTGGAAATAAGAGACTACAATCGAATTAATGAAGAAAGAAAAACATGCATTTCTGCAGTACCATTATCAAGTTTAGAACATTCCAAACTGTCTTGTACAATAACTTTGAATTGTAGTCACTGTTTTAATTGTTATTATAGAACATAGAACATAGAACAGTGCAGCACAGTACAGGCCCTTCAGCCCACGATGTTGTGCCGACCTATTATCCTACTAAGATCATACTACCCTGCGTACCCTACATTATACTATCATCCATGTGCCTATCCAAGAGTCGCTTAAAAGTCTCTAAAGTATCTGAATCCACTACCACTGCCGGCAGCACATTCCACATGCCCACCAGTCTCTGTGTGAAGAACCTACCTCTGACATCTCCCCTATACCTTCTTCCAATCACCTTAAAATTATGCCCCCTCGTAATAGTCATTTCTGCTCTGGGAAAAAGTCTCTGGCTGTCCACTCTATCTATGCCTCTCATCAACTTGTACGCCTCTGTCAAGTCACCTCTCATCCTTCTTCGCTCCAATGAAAAAAGCCCCAGCTCCCTCAATGTTTCCTCATAAGACCTGCCCTCCAGTCCAGGCAGCATCCTGGTAAATCTCCTCTGCACCCTCTCTAAAGCTTCCACATCCTTCCTACAATGAGGCAGCCAGAACTGAACACAATATTCTAAGTGTGGTCTAACCAGAGGGCAGTTCAGAGTCAACCAAATCACTGTGGGACTGGAGTCACACGTGGGCCAGACCAGATAAGGCTGGCAGTTTCCTTCCCTAAAGGACATTAGTGAACCAAATGGGTTTTTCCCAACAATTGATAATGGATTAATGGTCATGGTTAGATTCTTAATTCCAGACATTTTTATTAAACTCAAATTCCACCATCTGCCATGGCGGGATTTGAACCCAAGTCCCCGGAACATTATCTGGATTTCTAGAGTACTCACTAGAGCCGGAAAATCAAGCCCTGCTCTTCCAGGGTTGTCACAAAAATGAATGATTTCATAAAGTACCCAAAAATATACCTGACTTCAGACCCCTAGGATGATAGAAGGCACGGATCAGGTTGCTGTAGTGAATAAGAATGGCTACTCCAGATAATTAGACTCTAACTACAGGTAAAATAGTACAAACTGTTCAAAATTGTCAACATAAAATAATGATAATTAAAACTTTAATCCTCTTTTAATCCCACACTTACATACAGACAAACAAATGGGAAACAGTTATTAGGCAGAGGGGAACAACTGGAAAGACAGTCCAGTGATCTGTGATCCCAGGTTCTGTGATTTTTTTTCTCTATTCGTTCATAGGATGAAGAGCCTTTTTCTGTACTGCTGATCTCTAATGACTCAAAGCAGTTGTATGCTGTAACTTTTAACTGATAAGCGAGGGACGTTGTTTTTATAAGTATACTAGTAATCTTGTGTCTCTCACCAACCAGTGGAACAACTTGGATTGAAGCAATGCGCTAGCCAGCATTTATTGTCCATCCCTAATTGCCCAGAGGGTAGTTAAGAGTCAACCATATTGCTGTGGGTCTGGAGTCACATGTAGGCCAGAACAGGTAAAGGACATTAGTGAACCAGATGGGTTTTTCCGACGATTGGCAATAGATTCATGGTTATCATTAGACTCTTAATTCCGGATATTTCATTGAATTCAAACTCCGCCATCTGCCACGGTGGGATTTGAACCCGGGTCCCCAAAACATTTCTGGGTCTCTGGATCAACAGTCTAGTGATAATACCACTAGGCCATCGCCTCCCCCAGAGATTAAGATTATCTTTATAACTTTTCTGCTGGTTAGCACATTGCTTCAATCGTCTTTCTCCAATTTGTTTCACTGGTTGGTGAGAGACACAAGATGACTAGTATACTTATAAAAACGTCTCTCGCTTATCAGTTAAAAGTTACAGCATACAACTGCTTTGAGTCAATGGGATCATCTGTACAGAAAAAGGCCCTTTGTCCTATCGCGTCTACACCAGTCAAAAACAATTCCTAACTATTCTTATAACATTTTCCAGCACTTGGCCAATAGCCTTGTATGCCTTGGCATTGCAAGAGTACATGAAAATATTTATGAAAAGTTATGAGGATTTCTACCTCCATCACCCTGACAGGCAGTGAGTTCAGATTCCCACCACCCTATGGATGAAAAAGATTTTCCTTACATTTTCCCTAAACATTCTGCCCCTTATCTTAAATCTATGCCCCTCTGCCAAAAGAAAAAGTTTCTTTCTGTCTACCTTATCTATACCCCTCAACATCTCAATCATGTCCTCTCTCAATCTCCTCTGCTACAAGGAAAACAATCCCACTCTCTTCATAACTGAAACTCTCCAGTTCAGTAACTTGCTGTTAAATCTCATTTGAAATACAGAATTATAGAAAATAGGTTCAGGAGTAAGCCATTCAGCATTTCAAGCCTGTACCACCATTCAATATGATCATGCTGATCATGCAATTTCAGTATCTCATTCTTACTTTCTCTCCATACCCCTTGATTGCTTTAGCCATGTCCAGCTCCCTCTTGAATATATCTAACAAACTGGTGCTAACTGCTTTCTGAGGTAGAGAATTCCACTCGGTCACAATTCTGAGTGAAGACATTCTCATCTCAGTCCTGAATGGCCTACCCCTTATCTTAGACTGCGACCCCTAATTCTGGACTTTCCCAACATCGGGAACATTCTTCCAGCATTTAGCCTGTCCATCCCGTCAGGATTTTACAGGTTCCTATGAGGTCTCCCCTCATTCTTCTAAATTCCAGTGAGTACAAACCCAGTCAATCCAGTCTTTCTTCATGTCAGTTCTGCCACCCCAGCAATCAGTCTGGTGAACCTTCACTGGACTCCCTCAACAGCAAGAATGCACTTCCTCAGACTAGGAGACCAAAACTGCACACAATGGTCAAGGTGTGGCCTCACCAAGACTCTGTATAATGACAATAAGATATCCCTACTCCTATACTCAAATCCTCTCATTATCAAGGCCAGCATGCTATTAGCTTTCCTCACTGCCTTCTGCAACTGCATGCCAATCTTCAGCAGCTGTTCCATCATGACATCCCAGGTCTTGTTGAATCTCACCTTTTCCTAAACTGCTACCATTCATATAATAATCTGCCTTCCTGTTTTTGCCACCAAAGTGGATAACCTCACACTTATCTACAATATATTGCATTGCCAAGTATTTGCTCACTCAGCCAGCCTGTCCAAGTCACCTGCAGCCTTTTAGCATCCTCCTCACAGTATACACTGCCACCCAGCTCAGTGTCATCTGCAAATTTGGAGATATTGCACTCAATTCCTCTGTCCAATTTGTTAATGAATATTGTGAACAGCTGGGATCCCAGCACTGAACTCTACCGTATCCCACTTGTCGCTGCCTGCCATCTGAAAAGAACCCATTTATTCCAACTCTTTGCTTCCTGTCTGCCAACCAGTTCTCTATCCAGGTCAATACATTACCTCCAATACCATGATATTTAATTTTGCTTACTAATCTCATGTGGGACCTTGCCAAAAGCCTTTTGAAAGTCCAGATACACAACATCCACTGATTCACGTTTCTCCTTGAAGTGATTGGTAGAATAATTAAAAAGGAGAGAAGAAAAATAATCTTCACCTAGAGGGCAGCAGTATCTGGACTCGGCGTCTGAAAGAGTAGGAGGACTAGAAATTCCCAACTCATTTAAAAGGTGTCTACATGTGCACCTGAAGTCCCATAACCTCCTGAGATATGGACGCAGTGCTGAAAATGGGAATAAGTAGGGTGGCCTGTCTTTTTGATAGGTGCAAACATGATGGGCAGAATGACAGCATTCTGTGTTACGTATATTTCTATACTTTCTAAATATTCCAATTATCATAAAAAAGGAGTAATATGAAGGAATGTCGGGAGATTGAAGAGGCCTGCAAGTATGTGAACTGCTCCTTCTTCTATGATGTAACAATTCTACGATTTTAAACAGAAGAAACACACCGTATAAATTGCAAAAATGCAAACAAAGATGCAAAGGTTCTGGTTAAGACTGAATAGATACCATGCCACAAGAGAATATATTTGGAAAAGTATCCTGTCAAGTCAGGTAAAACTGAACGGAAAGGGCACACCAAGACCAAGTCTAACTCCTCCAGGGCTGGGGTCCAGTTCCTACTCATTTGTATCTCCAATCTGCTGCACAACAATCACTATGCCCAGCAGATCGGAATCAGGGTCACTATGATTCTGGAGCTGGTGGGCAATATAGTCTGGAATAACAAGACTCCCTACATCAACCACCACCACCTGCAGCTCGCCAACTGCAACAACAAGGAGCTCAATAAGCTGTTGGCAGGTGTCACTAATACCAAGGATGGGCGTCCTGCCCAACATGCAGGATGTACTGCTGCCCAAGATACTGAAAGCAGGGCTAAATCAGAAAAGGGTCAAACCAAAATAGTTCCATTATCAAGAATTTCTAATTGAATAACCAGGTCAGGAGGACAAGGACTTTACTGAAAAGGTGGTTGTCTTCAGATTCTTGATTACCAGTAACTGGTCCACAATAACAAGAAAATTACAGGCAATAAGTGCAGAAAATAATGAAGAATGTATGTTGATTCACCAACGACCTGAATACATCCCAAACAATTTCATCCTGAAACATTAAACACAGTCACCTTAACGTTATTGACAACATGTTAATTTACAACAAGACATTGGTAATTCTGAAAACACTTTGCCTTTGTATTCTATCAAGGGTACTTAGGGATGACCGTTTTGCACATTTTTAATAATTTTGATAACGTACCAGTGTCTAATTCTTGAGTAGATTTGTAGTTTGGGTTGTGGATGCTGTGGTTGGTTCGCTCACCGAGCTGGTTCATTAGTTTGCAGACGTCTCATTACCCTGTTGGATAACATAATCAGTGCAGCCTCCAATGAAGCATTGTTGTATTTTCCAGATTGCTATTTAAACTCTGGGGTCCGTTGGAGAACCAGGGATCCAGGAAT